ACAATTGTACTTGTGTTTACATTGGATTTCATGTGAGCATATAGGTTTTAGATGTCTATACAGACTAATAGATTGTAAAAATTTTTGTAATGTGTATCCAGCCTTAGAGTTGGTGTACATGGGCTTTTGAGAACTTGTGCCTTGCTTTTAATTTTTTGTACAAATCCATATGAATGTATGGCAGATGTGATAAACCTTCTTCAGATGCCCATGTACACTAGCCCTAAGCTGAACTGCAGGCAAGGTGGCTAAATACAAATAAAATGCATATATTGATACAGTATTGGCTGCCATCGAATTTTTGTAATGCTTTCTAGCCTGGCAGAATAAATAACACAGCCAGATACTCAACTTCTACTGCAGCAGAAGCACAGCTTAGTAAGGGACAAGTGAGTAAAAGCAAACTGATGTCATCTATCTGTTGTCCTCTTTTTGTTGGTATGTTCACAATCTACATGCATGCATATAGCAGAGCCTATGTGGCTTAAGTGCTGGCTCTCCTTCTCCCGGTCTGACTGCTCCTGTACACCGGGTTACAGGAGGCTGAATATAAGACCAAATACAGGTGCTTTAAGTTTAAATTAAGAATGCATTTAAGGTTTTTAAATAATATGGCATGAATGTGTTTTCCTCCTGGAGTTCACCTTTTAATAATCATATTCTACATTTCCTTTGTTTATGTTGATATTCCTTTCTGTCATCACACCAAATAATAATTTGGCTTTAGCTGAAATGTATATGTTTATTTATATTTTGTTTTTGCTTCCAGTGAAGGGGATAAAGTGAAAGTGGCCCAAGGAGTATCTGGTTCCATTCAAGACAAAGGATCCATTCATAAGTTTGCACCATACCTAATTGCAGGCATTCAACATGGCTGCCAAGACATAGGGGCCAAAAGTCTCTCCATACTACGGTAAGCTTTGCTGGTTCAATATTCTTGACCTGTGCTGTGTGTTTGTTTTTATTTTTTATATACCCAGTTCTTAAGTTTTGCGTAGCATCAGATGTGTTTCTTGTACAGGTATACTTTGCGATTTTGTTAAAACTGACAATGTGTATCAATCCCTAGGTGAGTTGATTTTGTTTTTGTAATAAGTATTCATAAACCGATCATTAAAGATGAACGTTCTGGATTTTGTAGCTGATCAGAGGTGCTGCTCCTACTCAAGGCATTACAAGCAGTAGATGGCATTGTTGCCACATGTGTTTTCTTGGCCCCATTTTTGTCTATTCTGCGGACTATTGACTCATTATACTGTATATGTTTGCAGCTAACACAGCTTGATTGTAGCATTTTGCTTTATTTGCAGTTCTATGATGTATTCTGGGGAACTAAAACTGGAAAAGAGAACCATGTCTGCCCAAGTAGAAGGTGGAGTCCATGGTCTCCATTCGTAAGTCCAGATCAGTGTTTTGTAATACTTGTGTTTCCAGTCTTTTTATATTTATAGTTTGTTGCATGTCATCTGCTAGTAGTTATGATCCATATACCATTTCATGGTTGATGTTTCCCTGTGTGTGCTTGTTTTTGGGGTTTTTTTTTTTCCTTTTCAAGTTGAGTGTTACATTACTCTATATAGTTAGTTACTTGAATATGCCCATAGTTTCCTACACTGAAATTATGAGCATAGGTCTACATTTCTGCACCATTAATGGCTTGACATGTTTTGTAGTGTACTAGAGCATTGCATGGGATGCTTCGATGAATTTACCTGTACGTTTTATACCATTCCCTGTTGTTTTCAACTGCATTAAACAATGATCCCTTTTCAAAAAAGGATAAAATTAAGTCACTAAAGGAATAGAGAGATCATTTGTTTGTAACTCTTCTAAACAGATAAAAACTCTTACTTCCTTTGGTGTAATTATAAAACTGAATGTGCAGTCTCTCACTTTATAGCCACTTTTTAACTCTTCTATTCAGATGGTTTGTTCAGGCGCGGTATAGTGGGCCATCACTCTGATTGTTGATGGTAGACAGAAGGAGACAGATTTGAATAAACTGCTTTGTCATGTGATCAGTGGTACAATGGCTGTGATCACAGCAAGTATACAATGCACAGTTCAGTGTGTGTGTGTGTGTGTGTGTGTGTCCACACATGTACATGTGATTTATATGGTAAAAATAAACTAGTGCAGATCTTTTTCTTGGTGCTGGCTTTTCATACCCAAAAATATAAATGTGTTGTATATTGCAGCTTACTAGTCCATAGATAAAATGGCTGCATTCATATCCTATTTTTTAAACCAAGTAAATTTTCTAACTACTGAAATATGACTATTGATCCTGACTTAGATCTAGTAACCTTGAATCTCCATGTGTTTTTGAACTGAAATCTCAAAACAATGGTATTAGTTTTCCAAGCAATCTTCTGTAAACTACACAACCCCTTCGCCCTATTGCAGCCACCACATCTAAAGGCAGATGAGATTCTAGTGTTTAGTTACGCTGTGATGTCTGGTCTTTATCCCCTTTAAAGCGACATTGTTCGTTTAATTTAGTGAGGTAGTTGTTTGGTATCAGATCATCACAGATCATTAAAAAACTAAACTCCAACCAGCAGTCAAAAATGACTGACTCCACGCAACAAGAATTATCTGCTTGATTAGTCTAGGACAGGAAAGGAATAATAGGAAGGGCCTACCTTATTCCTGGTTCCTCGTGTAATGTGAGCGGGCCCTCAAATCCTTGCATGCTGTATACCTAGTCCTACATTGTACTTGAGGATATCTGAGCGTACATGACCAGCAAAAAGGAGTGTAATTTATTGTATAGGCCGTAGGATGAAGAGAGAACCTGCAGGGGGCTTCAGTCACATCTGCGCATTTGGAATTCAGCGTGTTTTTTGACACTGACAAAAAGCATGCAATTTTTAATAGACGTGTGGTTTTCTGAGAGAGAGTTAACCATTTCTGTGCAGGGCATTGACAGTTGTATAGTAATTTTTGACTGCTGACTGGAGTTCAGCTTTAATTGGTTACTTATTTTTCTTCTTATATAAGCCTACATAGGCTATAACTATTCTAAAGAATTTTCCTAGAAAAACAAAGCACATCTTGGATTCCTGCATACTCTTTGCTTTGGCTACCAATTTTAATTCAGCTTTAATTTTGGAGGGTTGGGGGGGGGCAGTTTGGATACATTTTGTAAAGTAAACAATACATTAAATAAAAGTTATTAGTGATTTTTAAATACTCTTCAATCATGAAAATTGGCATAGTAATCATTTTTTTTTTTCAGTTATTAGCTGGTTAAAGCACACACAATCTCCTCATTCTAAAAGTGTATGTATACCCATTTGGACAGAATGAGTAAGGATTATAACCCCTGTCAAGTTTGTATTGCTCTGTGGGTTCACCCTACTTGTCACCCTCGTTCCCAAAACGAGGGTTTGGGAAATCTAAAATGCTAGTTTTCACTAGAATAAGATGCAAGGGTAAATCTTCCAATGGGGCTACCTGTCCCAGTGGCACATTTCTGAGTGAGATTTGTTTCACTCTGTCGCAACTCGGCTACAGGAATTAAAGGGAAACTTCCCAACAGTATATGGATGGTATTATTTTACTTGCTTTAACCCTTCCCTATTTCATACCAAACAAAAAAAAAATGGCTATACATACAACATAACTCTCCTTTTTAGTCCTTTTTAGTAGATTACAAGGGAAACCTGGAATCCAACAATGTACAATTGATGACCATCATATTTGGTTTGATTTATCTCCTGTGCCTCATCATAGTTTCCATCAAAGTTATGGACCAGTAGTGATGCACAGGAGGAGGTGAGGCCAAGTGGTTCCCAAAGGGACTGTTTGCATACTAGGACACCCCACAATACCCCAGGTTGCTCTACAGTCAATATGAACAAGAGCTTGCTTCACATCTCTGCCAATAGTTCAGTAAGTTAAGTGGTTAATTTTTGGCATTTTGTTTCACAGAATGGTTATTACTCTTCTGTTTAACCGCAAAAAAACAAACATGCCCAGTTGTGTCAGATGACTACACAATAATGGTATGGTTCCCCCACATAATGACTGTTTTTTTTTAAGCTAAAATGTACGCTCCAGTCAAAAGCTATGGCTGCAGCACTTCACTTAATTTTTTTCCCCAACTGAATTCAAATACTTATTTTTCCTGCAGTTAACTGCTGGTGTGCCAGATCTTTTGTAATTGTTACCTGAACACAGTTCAGTTATCCTTGGCAAAATGCTGGTTTGTTATCAGTTTAATAAATAGGTAATTTCACATCAGCAACATGATCTATCCATCTATCTTTGCTGATTGCATTATGTCTGTCTAATTGCTAATTCAGGGTTGAGTATAGCTCATTTTTGGATTTCTGAGCAAGTTTTGTTTTCTTACTAGCAAAAGTGTGCCCTTTTCAGAATGGGCAAGGTTAAGGTGCCCACACACCTTGCGATAATCGCAGGAAATCCCGCGATCGTATGAATATCGCAAGGTGTGTGGAAGGCGTGAGACCGTTTTTACTGTAAGGTTGCACGACTTTTATCTTAGGAACATATTCGAAAATCCGCCGAGAATCGTACGATTGTCAGCAGGTGTGTGGCATGTTCATAAGATAAATGCTGCTCGGACCGGTGTGCGCATGTGCACACTGCCCGTTCAGCATTGCGGTCATCGCAAGTACGATCTGCCTGTCCAAGATAGGGAGATCGTATGTTTTTTAAATTGCCTTACAACCATCGCAAGACAAAAGTCTTGCGATGGTTGCAAGGTGTGTGCCCAGCATTAGGGTAGTTGTGCTGGACATAAAGTGCAGGTGAGGAATCTGGAGAGTATAAGGTCAGATGGTGGTTATTATAGTAGGTAGTATGTGCAGGGAAAGGAGTGCAGAGGGTATAGGAGCCAGACAGTATGTGATGGAGGAGTGCATTATGTGCAGTCGAGGAATTCAAAGGGTATGAACGTGGTCTCAATGTTTGGTAGAGGCAGTGGGAAGAGATGACATGTGTAAGACATGATCAAAATTATTTTGATCGATCAAAGTTCTTTTGATCCGTACTCTCCGCCGGCTTCCGGGTCTTCCGTTGGAGATCCGGTGACGTCACGGACATCGACGTCACCGGACTCCTCCCCCTTCCCCAAGTGGCTGTCGGCTAATGAAGGGAAGGGGGAGGAGTCTGGTGACGTTGATCCCGCCGATCGCCTATATGTGAAACACCCGGTAACGGGTGTGTGCATTTAGCGGGTCTTTTCTGCCCGTGCGTGCGGACGGCAAGAGGTTAAAAGATTTTAGATTAATCGAACAGGAAATTTTTAATCATTACCAGCCCTAATAAAAACAAAACAACAACAAAAAAAATATATATATATATATACTTGCACATATCCAGGAATACAAAGTAACGGGTAACAATAATCCACTAGAGATCTCATCACTATAAACACTGATGTGTGTGATATGCAGATGCACATGGTAAAATGAGAAATGGTTCCAAGTGTAATAAAGCAATGACTTTCCAGATTTGCAAACAATATGGTACATAGTCATTTATTCCGTTTTATATTTTGAGGAGTATCCCAGGGCTGGACAAAACTATGGGGTTAGTGAAATACACTCATCCCCATAGTTCGAGCCAACGTGGGACATTGAAATTGTCACACCTCTGCTCTATTGATCGGGAAGTGAACGAAAACATAGTGCTGCTTGCTCACTTCCTGATCATCTCCCTGCAGAGAGGGGTGACTTGTCAGTCACCGCTCCCCACAGGGATTCCCCTCTCCGATCCTCCAGAGCTGACTGGAGGGGGCGGCCATAGCGGGTTCTGCCTTTAGATAGGCAGAGCCCGCTGTCGATCAGGCAGCAGGGTGGATCTTGACAGTATTGTCTGGATCCGTCCCTGGCTGCAGCACTCTCCGCATATAGCAAGGAATAGCCCGCTATATACTGAGTTTTGGGTCACGGGAGGATGTCGGTCTATGTCCTCCTGTGACCCTGAAGAGAACTATGGGGAAAAAAGGACACTCTTTAATCAGTTTGCCTGACCAAAATGTGTTATTTTATTTTTGTTTTTTTATTTTCCTCCCTTGCATACTATATCTTTCATACCTGCTGTTTGTTGACTCCTTAAAGCAATACTCCAAACAAATGATTAAAACCCACTCTTTATACTGCCAGTATACAGTTTGTTTCAATACTGATATGTGTCTATACTTTGATTTTCTGTAATCACTGCATGCAAGGAAATCAAAGGAATTGTAAAGTTCTACACTAGATGCTGCCCAACTTCTTTTCATTCTGATGTCAATCTAGCATGTTGAATAGGAGGCATTTAGCTAGCTTCCAAGAAGTGACAACATCGGTAATACTTAACCAGTACGATATTGTTCTTTAATTGTCTAATGAGCTAACTGCGGGTTGGGTGACGGTAAAGTACGGAGCTACAATGTTTACTGCGGTCATGTTTCTAGCTAGGAAACGGTGAAGGGTTGCTGGATTTAGGGTGGCTCAACAAAGAAATTGGTGCACCTATCAGTTTGAGCCTTGTTTAAATTGCAGTTTAGCATGTCCTTCCCTGATCTATCAAACTTGTATTTGTGCTTATTTGGTGATGGTGGTGGGAAAGTTCAAACCAAATAAAATCCCAGACCGTTTATAATCTTCTCTTTTTTTCTTTTGTACATGCATCCATTCTAGATATACATTCCTACCATGTAAGTAACAGAGTATTTATGTCTTGTGTACTGAAAGGTCCATGGACAAATAAAAAATGTGTAAAACTATGGCCCTAAGTAAGACTGAGATACAGAAACCTTTTAAGTCCTCTTATCCCACAAGTGCAAAAAAATTACATATCTTTTATATGATGCCATGTGCTATTTTTTAAGTGGTTAATAGTTCTCACCGCCATTACTAAAACATCTGAACAATATATTTTTTTTCTTGTTTTAATAAAAACTGAATACTATTTATTTTGCTATTATTAAATCTGAAGTTTTTAAGTCATATAAATCCTCAAAGTTTTCGGGTTGGGTATGTACCTCAACTCCGTTTACCAGTGTTCAAAAGCCTGAGGGCTAGTTTGCATGTGATGCAGTCCGTTCAGTTTGGCAGCTGCATCAAAAACACATCACAATGCTTTCCTTTGGGAGATCTGGTGCTCTGTTTACACCAGTGCAGTCCAATCTGATGCAGTCAGAAAAAATACTGCTTGCCCTATGAAGTCCGATCAAAATAGTGCTTGCAGCATAATGTGCCTTGCGATCCATGGAGTCCGTGGTTACGGTGCCATTTACTTCAATGAACCACCATGCCCCTCCTGCCACACAAAAAAAATGAGCCTGTCTCAATTCGAGGCAGTGTGTTCTGACCAGGATCGGGCCGGAGCGCACTGCATCTGGCCTTAGAACGAGGCCTTAGATTGAGTTTGTGTACATCAAAATTCATTTATTTTTTCTACAAATATAATTTTGATACAAATACCATGCAACACCACAAAAAAGCAACTCGCGTGTGTATGTATATGTGTAATATATATATATATATATATATATATATATTTTCCAGAAAACCTTTTTTTTTCAGAAAGCATTTTAAAAAAAATTGCTCCGGTCCTGAAGTGGTTAAATTCTAAGTAAGAGGCAGGGTTTTTTTGGGGGGGGGTGTTTGTTGTTGTGGGGTTTCTTATTTTTTATTTTTTTTTTCATTTTTATCTTTCGGCTGTTGCTTGTTTTTGTTTTCCCAAATTACATATAATTTTTTTTCTTCTTTGCCATGCATACAGAAACAATCTGTTTATTTGAATCATTAGTGCAACATTTAAGATCAAAGTGTGTGTGTGGTTTTTTTGGGGAGGTTTGCAAATTCTGTTTTTAAATTGCTTGTATTTTAGCAAATGGCATTAATGGCTTTCATTGCTTAGGTTCTGTAGATGCTGACATTGGATATTAATATTCTACTGACCTTACTAAATGTGAGTGCTAAATACAAGGTTAACTCAGGAGTCCTATCATCAGCAATAATGGTGCAATTAAAAATATTGCAGTGTTCTAGCAGGTGTGCAGAGTGGGGCTTACTGCAGTAATCCTTAAAGCGACACTAAACGAAGGATAAATCTTAAAAATACATGAAGTACCGTACTTATCAACATAAATGTATCTTATTTGTGCATCACTCAGCTGTAGATCCTCAAATCATCTCTGAATTGGTGACACTGTCCTTCCTTCTGGAGGGTGGCTACTTTTGTTCGCCGGGATCACTGTGTGTGGTGTACAGTAGCCACCACTCCAAGCCCATTCAGACTACAATCTCATGTTTAGTTTACCAATTTGTATTGTGATTGTAGTCCATCACAGAAGCGAGGTTGGAGCAGTGGCTACTTTACAACACACACAGGGACCATGGAGAACAAAAGCAGTCACCCCCCAGAAGGAAGGACGGTGTCAGCACCAATTCAGATATGATTTGAGGTTCTACAGCTGCGGGATACACATACTTTTGTTTTAATGCACATACTACACTTCAAACTTGTTTTAAAAGCTTAGAGATTCACACCAAGGCATACCATAAATGTATTTAAGATGCCACGCAGTAACCTAATGCTGGCCATTCACTGTTTACATTTTAGCCGAGTAGGAAATCATTCAGCTTAAATTCAAGCCGTGGGTGGCCCTGTCTGCATCAGCTGGTTTCCCAAACTTTGAGTGAAAAATTGAAGGCGCCAGGTAGGATGTTGTCAGCCAAAGAGTGATCAGATGCAGTCACTGTTCAGGTAATCAGACAGCCATGGGTGCCGGTTGTCTGAATACAATAGTTGGCAGGGGAGATTGCTTCATCCATGCTGCTTTTCTTTTGGCAGCATTGTTTTGAATTTATTTAAACATCTGTATCTTTATGATCATTCAGACTTAACGTTGGGAACATTTCTACCTTTTACTAAATAAAGTTTTATCTTTTATATGCCAGATTCTGCTCAATACTCCTCCCCTTCACATCAACTTTATATTTCTTATTTCATAAAATCTACTTAATTGCCTTCTGGTGACTATAATCTGTATTTTACTCGGCCTGGTCTGCTCCCGTTTGGTAGCAGAAAAGCATTTGCTATTTAGTGGTTTGTTCTTTTGTTCTCAATCAAGGAAATCCAAGCCACCCAAATAACTTGACCCTTGCACTTGCTCCTTTTTTAAATAAAGCTTTAATAATTAATATATAGCCATCAGTGGTCTGTCATAGAATGTGTACACACCCCATGCTCATCCCAAAATTCAGTTCCTGGTGCTTGTGCAACCTGTTAGCAGTCCTGGGCCTTTCCATGTAGGGATCATGTCTGAGGCTGCAAATGCCAACTTTTTGAATGGTTCTATATGAATGGCTGCTGCAAGTTGCAAAAGACTGAGGTTGTGGTGATGGCTAAAGTTGTCAGCTTTTTACTACAGGTTTACTTTAACTTTTATGAATTCCAGGCTGACCTGCATACTAAGGAGAAAAAATCTAATACAGTCACCATATCGAAGTACATTTTGTGTTTACAGAAAAATGCAAGCTGCTCTTTCCAGAATTCCAGGCTCCTAGTAAATACTTGTACATTGAACTGATGTCTCAAACATCAGCTATCTGTGAACTACAAAACACTTCCTCCCTATGTAATGTAGATAAAAGGAGGAGGTGTTTGTGATGACCATGCTGCTCCTACATGGATACAGTACAGGGAGTGAACATGATCACTCTGGGACAGGATGTGTTAGTGGTAGGATCACTAGATGGAGATAAAGGAAAAAGGCTTAAAGAAAACTGCAGCCTCCACATCTAAGGGACTGGTGAGCAGCAATATTCATTTTTTGTTTCTAGAATTGGATACGCTTTAACAATATCAGGTTTATTTAATAGGAAAGCGAGAAGAGGGCGAATAATGATTGAGCCATTTACTTTGCACATTACTTTTCGCTTTATTGAAGTGAATAATTTAAAGTTTAGGGAATATTTAACATTTATGCAGTCACCTGGGTAACGTGTACTGCATCAAGGGAGATGAGAGAGAAGTTTAAATGCTCCCCCATACCTTGAACTACCTTGCATGTCTAAGGGCTGCAACATCTTCACCCTAAGGCTTGAGAAAGAGGCTGTGCCTCGAAATGCGTAGCCACCACCACACTGAGAGCCCTATTCTTCATATCGTTGCCCACCCTTCCAGACTTCTTCCCCCTACCCAAGACTCATCCTGGTAGCGTGTCACTATCCTGTACGCACTGAATACAGTTGCTCACAGCCGTTCGCGGCTTTCCCTTCCCAAGCCGCCCGGCCTGGCCAGCCGTGCATGCGTGCTGACAGGGTTCTTCACATTACTTTTACACGCGATACTACTGCATCCTGGAAATCACCCCTCACCGGACTCCCTCCAGGCTCCTGTCATTGTCTTTCCATCTTTGGCACACCAGCAGCCTCATGACTGTAAGTCACACCAATTGTTCTTTACTTACTATCAGATATCATTCAATCACACTCTAGGCAGTAGCGCTCCTTACACTCGTTTGTATATGAACAGGCAAGTGAGGTGAAGGTAAGTTTTTGTGTGTAGAGAGGGGGAGCCCCCATATTCCTTTTTCTTATTAAATGGGTAAAGTGGAAGGTTTACATTAAATTAGAGCCTGTATTTTTGGAATCGGGCAAAATACATAATTTTGGTAGTATATACACGTCACTCTATGACATAATGTGTCTTACACTTGCAAGGAAAGGCGGGGGATGGACGGCCTGATGAAGGGACCCTGAGCGGTCCCCGCAACGTTGCGGTTTACAAGATGTGTTCATGCCAATAAATTGATTGCAGTTGGACATCTGATCACTGATGTGCTGGTGATGCACTTTTTTTTATATTTGCACTGCAGGGAGAGGCACAATACCAAATATTTGTAAGGAGTCTACTCTGACTGTTAATCTGGTTTATTGTCTTACACTTTGCTTCAATTATAAATTATCATCATAGCATTTACCTACGAGACTAAACATGTTTCTTTTTTTTTTTTTTTATTTACGAGAAACGACTATACTGAAACTGGGAGACGTAGCCATCGCCAGTCTACTCCCAACATTCCCTCTCTGGTCCCAACTTATCATCATAGCCTTTTCCTTCGAGACTAAACATTTTTTTTTTTTTTTTTTTTTTAGTTACGAGAAACGACTATACTGAAACTGGGAGACGTAGCCATCGCCAGTCTACTCCCAACATTCCCTCTCTGGTCCCAACCAAACCCACGTGATGCATTGAAGAGACCCGCCTCCGTTGTCCCCAGCTCTTCGCCTTTTCCCTTTTCCCTGAATTATGCAGGAAATCCAACTCGGCAATGTTTACTGACTCACTGCATGGTGTGGTATTTGCACTAAGGACACCTTTGCATAGGGTGTGTAAGAAAGACTTGAAAGAACGAAAGACCAAACTGCTGCCATGCTGAAATACCAACTAATCATTTGTGCTGAATTAGCAGAACTTAGAAGTACATTTGTTACATTCACATCTGTTTGAAAATACAGTGATAATTCTGAGTGCTTACTTGGAGTGGATAGAAATACATTACTGTTGGAACATTACCAGAAATGATGATCATATTAATTGTGTCATATTCCGAATTCTTAGATATATTTTATGTGATGGTAACACTGACAATCTGCAGTCTCTTCCATACCATGTTTCGGCATCATGAAATGGGGCTGTGATGGAAGCAGTGGGTCAGTTTTCAAATGAAAGTAGCTCAAATGAATAGCAAACTATGGAGTTTACCTCCGATGGTAATATTGTCAGGCTGCTCTCTATGGGTTGCATTAACTCATTTTTACTTTGTTGCAAGCTTGGCTTAACTTGGCAGCGTGACTGCATATGCACATTTGTCAATTATTATATAAGGATATTCAGCCACGTTATTCCTCTATTCAATGTTATTCCTCTATTCCTGCTCTGGTGACAAGTCTAAGATTTAGCATGTTGCCCTTACTTTCGGTGACTGTAATCGAAATAGAAAGTAGGTGAAGGTTCTAGCCATTCCCCACCTTTTTGGCTGCAGTTCTACGTTACAGAATTAGTGTTTTTACTGTTGCATGGAAAGCTGGATCCAAAATGGAATATTGAGTGGGGTTTTATAATCCACATTTCATAATGAAATTCAGTTCAGAATTAAAGCTCAATTAAAGTTGCATTAATAGATCTTGTCAAACATTGTACCATTTAACATCCCTTCTTATAGTCTTTTATGTTGTAGCAATTGGGCAATGTGTATAAATATTTACTGCACAGTCCGATAGGCACCAGTGTGGCTACATTCACCATTAGGCAGCCCATTTGAAGAGGTGGCATTTCCCTGAACAGGTATTGAACACTTGGTTTTTCTCCCGGCTCCCGCCAAACACCACTAGAAATACAGTATGCTTACTGGAGGATATTTACACATTGTCACAATATTCTTCATTAGGATGGGACTGATATAGCAAGAAAATATTAAACATTTATTCTTATTACTTTGGGCACAAAATTTTCCTGTGTTCCTACTGGCTCCACCAATGGAAATCCCACCCTGGGCACAGTGTTGTACTAAAAATCTTTTAATACGTGCGGTGTATTTATACACCACGACACTTGGTGCTTTATTATATATTCAGGTTTTAGAGTAGGTAGGGGTGAATTAGGAGTGCAGATATATTGAGAAAACACCAGTGTTGAGATGCCCATACACTGGTCGAATTTCGGCCAGTTTTTAATGTGCCGGCCGAAATTTGCGGTGTGTGGGGCTGCCACCTCCACTTTCTGCCGGCATACCACGATCAGCTGATCGAAGGAGCCTGCTGGAAAATCCTTGTGCGATCAGAGCCGGTAGCCAAGGAGCTGCCTGCTCAGATCGGGTATTCTGACAGGTGCCGACAGCACCTGTCAGAATACTACGCAAACAGTGGGATTCCTCGAGATGCTGTTTGTGTTGATGAATGAATCGCGTCAATTTCTTCCCTTCAGCCTGATGATAAAAAGGGAGTAAAAAAGTGTGCAACTTAAATTGTGCTTTATACCCATCTCCACCCCCTGTGACCCTGGCAAGGAAATGCTAACCCTTCCCCATTTGACTGAAAGGTCACAGATCTCGGGGGGGGACCTGACCTTAATGTCACAAAAATTGGATTGATTTGGGCTTTACGTTGTCCATACATGAGGAGAACTGAACCTTGCATTCCAAAATGCAACAAAGGTGTTGGCCAACTGTGCAAAATTTTTCAACCTCTGAGATTGCTGTGCATGTGATCTCCATGGTAATCACTTGTATGTATGCCCCTTGTATGTATAGATTAGAAAACAATTCTTTAGTGGTTACTCAACAAATCTTTCCCATGACAAATCTAAAACTGATCATAGAACATGATTTTTCTGCCTAAAGCTGGCCATACACCTGCAGATTGTCAATGGTCAGATGGGGGAAAAGTGCAGCATATTTCTCCAGCTACGCTAAACTTTGTGGATGGAGGAATCTCTTGCGCTGGGCCAAGCTTCAGTATCTTGCTAGTCGGTCCTGCTGGATCTCAAAACACCTAAACAATGTCTGCATCCAATCAGATTGTTCAGGTATTTTGAGAGCCAGCGGGGCCAATAAGCAAGATACTGAAGTTTTGCCAAGGAGTAGATTCCTCCACCCACACAGTTTAGCGTAGATGGAGGAATCTGTTGCACTTTTCTATCTGACCACAGATAATCTATAGGTGTATGGCCAGCTTTACACTGCAGACTACACAATATTTCGGAAATTGATAGAGCATTCAGGGGAAGAGTACTGCATACAGTCTTTCAGCTGTAACTGGCGTTTTGATCATCTTCTGCTTGCAACAGGACCAACCTGCTGGATAGTTGGCTTTTCCATTTCCTGACTTGAAGTATAATTGTACAAAAAGCAATAAATGCCGAACTGAAGCTGCCCATGTGTTTTTGTATACTGTGATTTTACATGTTAATTAACATTTGAAGCTTTATTTGTGTAGCATTTATTTTAAGTTTACATGTTTTAGCTTCTAGGGTTACGCTGCATTCATTACTGGCCATGAAGTGACCCTGGCTTTGACAATGGCTTGTCCGCAGATACGATTGGAGCCTTTTGTGGCACCAAATGCATAAAGCAGTCTGTTTATAAAGGTTACATTTAATTTTTTTATCCACACTGCACTATATACTTACCAGGAGAAATTCAGGTTAACGCTCATATCTTGCATATCTACGTATGCCCCCCCTACCCCATAAAAAAGCACACAAACATTTCATACAGTACTGCTGCTAATACAGTAATTGTGCATTTAGTAATCATTTTCCGACTTGAAAATAATGTTCAGCTTTTCTAGTGCATTAAAAATGTAAAAATACAGAGAGCCAAGATAAAACCCTATTCAAATAGCATCTATTGCATATGGCATTTAGTAATCAGATGCCGAAGTGACCCTGAACGCATCCCAAAACTGTGGAACCCGGGCTAAACAGTAGTGGGTCTGTTTAGTTTTGTTTAGTGCGACACATTTTACAAACCAAATTGTGTTTTGTATGTTTTATTATAACTGGATTAACTTGCATGCTTTTTGGTACCTGCTTCTTCAGAAGGTAAAAAAAAAAGGTGAGATTAGCCGTTGGTTTGCACTAAATATTCTTTATTGCATTTTCTGCCTTTTTATTTTGCATTGTACAGACATCACATCCCAGTGGGGTTTGCAGAACCTTTGCTTTATGTAACAAATGCCCCACATTTAATATACAGAGGGGAATTTATCAAAATCTGGAGCAGCTGTGCATGGCAACCAATCCGCTTATCTGTTTCATTTCCAAAGCCTAACTGAACAAACTGGAGAGACGCAGATTGGTTGTCATGGGCAACTGCTCCAGATTTTGGCTGCTCCAGTTTTGATAAATTCACCTCACATTTTTGTATTCTCATGATATGCATTTAATAGAGGGTAACACCACTCTTGCACTGCTGGCCCAGTGGATTCAGTCATTTAGAGCCACTGACCTGGAACAACTATGACGTGACAATAAGGAGTGATGTATGTTTGTTTTTTTTTTCATGCTTGTTCCAGATCAGTATCTCAGAAACCATTGACGCCAGGCAGAAACAGTTCAATAGCATTTTTAGAATATCGGCAAGTGGCCTCCATGTTTGAGTTGATGTGGGTTGTCTATAAATTGGCTGATGGTGTCTGTGCTTTGGCTGTTCTTACATGAGCTTTTACAACTAGTTGAAGAAAGCTTTGATGGAACTGCAGTTTGGACTTTATTAAAAATATCTGCAGCAAGCTGTGTGTATGTACATGACTGTTCAGGAAAAGCAAAAAACAATGCGACATGTCTTCCTGCTTGGCACCAGCACTCTGCTCAGCGGTCATTCCAGATGCTCAGTTATGTT